CTCTTTGAACTCCACTTTCTCTATTGTGGGGTGGGAAACACAAAAATAGTCAGGCCCACCTAGTAGAAGTTTTATTCTTTTTTTTTTAAATAGATGTATTTTAAATAAATAAAAAACAATATCTAGCGAAACCTTAGCCTTCCAAGAAAACAGAAAATGCTATCATCTGGCAGTGGCTACCCCCAATTGAATCATCAGCCCACCTACTATGGTCTCCTCAAACTATTAAGGGCTGCCCCCAGCCATCAAAAAGTTGCCCACCCCAGATTAGAGAATCAAAATAATTTTGGGGAGAGCTGAGTTGGACATCTGTAACATCTCCTGAGTTTCTTGGAGGTAGCATGGAATGAACATGTAATAAGCAATCAGTAGAGAATGAAATATTTTTATTCTAATCTCTCCTACAGGGCCGAGAAGTTTCTGAGGAGGAGATCCTCTTGGCTCACAGGTGAAAGCAAATCTTGGAGTTGGGGCAGAGCCGGGCATGGAGTTGAGGGGTGGAGAGGAAGAGACTGAGCTGCAGCTGAACATGTGAATCTCTCTTTTTTAACAGTCAGGAGTACTTGACACTCATGAAATCGACCGAAACAATGAGTGAGACTGAGTTAAGGTCTCTGGCAGATACCTTTGATTCTGTTTACCTGCATCCAGTGAGTATCTTCAGAGCTGTATTTAAAGGCAGAAGTGTCTAACCTTTGTAACTGAAATACCTGGTGCAGAGTTGACAGGCTGCACCTTTGTGAACTTCTAGTTCATTTTTTTTGAACTGCCGGCGGCAGCACTGAATTTGGGAATGTCACTCATTCTAATGCTGTTAGACATATGCCTGCCTAATATCCATGGGGCAAAGCTTGGCACAAGAGGATAGGTATAATTTATACTGTATAAATGACTTCATAGCACCACGTCTAAAAGCTGTTGAAGCAATGTGTTGCAGTCAAGTTCTGCATCTTCTTGTGGAGGACCCTTGGAGAAGTGTGGGCATGTGGGGTGAAATTCTCCAGAAACAAGGCATCCCAGTTTTGGGGAAGGGAGGTGTAGGTGTGGGAACAGGGGAGAATAGAAATGATATTGTAAGTTCTTCCATATCTTGTATTTTTTCTCCATTGCTATGTATTTTCTGATCTCTGTAAATAAAGTCCCCATTTCTGAGTATCAGAATTTTTCCTCTTAACTGTACTAGAAAAAAAAGGGGGGGGGGAGTGTGTTTAAAACCCGTTTTGGGAATAATAAAAAAGTTTAGTAGTTAGAACAATAAATTATTCAGATCCTATAATTTTCTCCATAGCTGACTTCTACATTATTTATCCGAATAATATAACTTGCTACTGGATTTAGGGCTCTTTGGGGGGGGGGGGTTCCTTTGCACCTCCAGGTGAACACACCTATGCACATCTTGTTCTGTTTTGCTTTTTCTGAGGGGGCGGGGCTAAGAACCAAGCAATTTGCTGGGACCCAGAGTTCCATCTGTTCGTCTGCAGCAGGAGAACCCCTGGTGCTATAGTAGGGTTTACTAACCTGATTTTCAATTCCTACCAAAGAATTTCTACCGCTGTGCCTGCCTTGCTGCTGGTTCTGTCTTGCAACTTGTGGAGAAAGTGTGGTCTGGGGAACTCCGTAATGGCCTGGCTGTGGTCAGGTAAGATGCAGATAGAGATTATTTTCACTTTTGTTTGACTCAAAATACCATTGCAAGCAAGCATAGTCAGTTTGCTTTAATAGACCCTTTGACAGGTATGGGAAGGGGCATATTCTCATAGTGGGTTGTGTACAGTACAAGCTCACAGGCGTAACGTCTATTTGTTATCTTTTTATTTTCTTGCCCACTAGCAGTGAAGAAGAGGTTCCCCTTATCCACAAAACAGACTTTCCTATCCACTGCCCCCTAGATGTGTTGGACTTAACTGTCAGAATCTGGTTGGCCATACTGGCTAGGGCAGTGTTCCTCAACCTTGGCAACTTTAAGATGGGTGGACTTCGACTCCCAGAATTCTGGGAGTCAAAGTCCACAGATCTTAAAGTCGCTAAGGTTGAGAAACACTGGGCTAGGGATTCTGGGAGCCGGTTCGCATCCAGAGGGCCTCAGGTGGGGAAAAGTTGCATTAAATAGTGATGGGCAATCTCCCAAGTGGATTCCACAATAAAGACAGGATTGTCAATGTCTTGACTGTGTGTGCATACATGTACTTGTTTATGGAGGATGGGAATGATGGTCCAACTGATCCAGAAAGAAAATAGGTGGTGGAATTCACCCAGATGATGCCTCTTAGAATTAACAACCCAAAGCACTGTGCTGCTGTCTTCCCCCCTTAATAAAAGGCAGGAGGATGTGAGAAAAAAGATTATTGAATCAGAAATATGTCATATCTTGATCTCTGTAAAATTCTGTGTATGAGAACATTTTGACTTGCACAGTAAAAACCTTATATGGAAGTCACCAAGTGACTCCTCACTCTTTCTGGACTTTTATGTCCTTGAAGACACATGGGAGTGGTGGCCCAAGCATGCTTCTTTTAGCATTTAGAGCAGAAGGTGCCAAATGCAATCGATAATTTGCACTGTAGCAACATCAGCTTGCACTCTGGCTTCTTTTTTCCTTGATGGCTGACTTGTGATTTTCTAGTTCTAGAGTGAGCCACCGTATCTTTTGGGTTTCAGGCCCCCTGGACACCATGCTCACCGCTACAAGATGGATGGCTACTGCATGTTCAACAACATAGGCATTGCAGCACAATATGCCCGACAGAAATTGGGGGTGGAGCGGTGAGTAGCTACAGAGAGGGGAGGTAACAAGCTAAGACTGATTGCTGGGCAGTTTGCCACAAGCATGAATCAGCATTCTCTGAGCTTCAGCTCCTCTGCATTATGTGGATGGCGGGTTAGCCAATAAATGCAAAGCATTAGATATTTGAACAACTGGTCCTAGTTGTTCCACACACTCCAGTTTTTGGAGGATGTCTCTCAGTACCCAGTTATGATCCATTTTGGTTTTTCAGTGAACATTTACTGAATAATCATTTCTGTTCTGTTACTGTCCCTAGAGCTTAGAGCAGTGACGTTCAAGCCTGCATCAGTGGTCATGACAGTGCCTTTATAAGGGATCCTGGGAACAGGAGTTTAGTGAGGAAGCTGAGAAGTCTCCCAGTCCCCCTTAGGACTACAGCTCCCATGACTCCTTGAAGGGATGCTGTTAACAGTGAGGACTGATGTCAGCTTGCTTTTTCAGATGCTGCTTTTTATGAGTTCCCTTTTTCATTCATTATGTTTGTGTTTCTTTCTCTTCCAGGGTGCTTATTGTTGACTGGGATGTGCATCATGGGCAAGGCCTTCAGTACCTCTTTGAGGAGAATCCCAGGTGTCTAATCAAAGAATGAGCTTTGTTTAGTTGGAGAACTTGGGAAATTCTATAGTGGATGAGGAGAGTTGGCAAAAGCAGGGCGGATTAGTTTGGTTTAAATATAGGCTGCAGCCAGACTGGGTTCAGAGGGCTGGGGCTTGGCTAGTGTCTATTTCTCTTCACCACTGAATCTGCCATGACTGTTTTTCCTAGCATCCTTTATTTCTCCATCCATCGCTATGAAGGAGGAAATTTCTGGCCCCATCTTCCAGAATCTGACAGTCATGCAGTGGGCAGAGGTCGGGGAGAGGGCTACAACATCAATGTGCCCTGGAACCAGGTATGGTAGTTTGATAGGGACATGCTAGGCTGAGATTGCTGGGAATGGTAATTTGTCACTTCTCCACTCCTGCTAAAGCTGCTTGCGTATTGCCCCATTTTTCTCAACAGCAGTTGCAAATAGTGCCATTTGGCTAGCAACCTAAATATGGTTTCAGTATCCCGAAGGACTATCCTGACTGCTGGGCAAAAAAAAGGGAGGGGGAGAACTGATCATCTTTTACAAGTAGGCAGATCCCTGACTTTGCTAGTATAGACTGTATAATAGCCTGGTTACAGGAAGAAGCCAAAGTTGTGTGTGGATCTAAGTTCAAATTGTGGCATAGCCTTTTTAGGGAAAGGGAAAATTGATTGGCGGGGGGGGGATTCAGATCATGAGATCGGTCCAATCACCCTCCGCAGTTGCTTAGAAACTGCTCTTTCCCTTTGCAGTAGCCACTTGTATCAGGACGCATTTGCTTGGAAGGGGACATGTTAGTGTAGGCTTCAATGCTACTGTGCTTCTTACAACTAATAAGCCAAGTTCACATATCACACCAAACCTTGATTTCACCAAAGTTCTTGAATAAGCCTCAGTTGGCTGGGTTCATGCTGAATGGTAAACCATCAAGTTTCATTCACAAACCACAAGTGTGCTCTTTCATCATGGTAAGCCAACATCAAAACAGTTACATTGTAGTTTAGCATACTGGGTTGTGGTTTAGTGTAGTACCTGAATCCAGCCATTGAGTTCTAGAATCAGAATGAGCCAAGATTCAGAAGCCAGTTGCAAACCAAGACTTCAGATTATTGCTCAGTTTCTTTCTCGGGATGGATTCACACATCACACTAAGCCAAAGACAAACAAACAGAGGTTTTGGATCGGATTTCGTTTGGCATCCCTAATGTCAGATTCCTCAAAGTTTAGGACCTTCCTGACTGTTGCTATGTTACATCAGTAGTGGCTGCTCTTTTAGGCAGGATGCCCATACTGTATGTGTGCAGGTAAAGAAGTTCTTTGTGGATTTCCTTTAATCTCCTCTAAGTTCAATGTGTCTGTCTGCCCCTTTAGACAGGAATGAGGGATGCTGACTACCTCTCTGCCTTTTTACATGTCCTACTGCCTGTGGCCTTAGAGGTAAGCGATGAAGCAGCCAGCATTTTGAAAGGATCGACAGTCTGATCTATTACTTGATTTATATAGTTGTCCAGAACAGTAGCCCAGGATCATAAATAGCTTGTGGTAATCCAGGATCATAAAATATGAAATGTTGATGGAAAGCATTTCTTAATCGTTTGTTGGATGACATGCCATTTAAAGATGTTAGTACAATATTCAAGAACTGGTCTTGACTCCCATGTCTTCCTCTCTCTCTTGCTCTGTAGAAGCATGCTGTCCAAAACAGTAGGTCATGTTCAAGCCAATGTCCAATCTTCTGCCTTAATTGAAACACAAGTGAGGCCGTGCAGAATTGAGAGTTGTTTTCTCTATGTGCAATGTGTAGAATCATAAAGTTGGAAGGTATCTTAAGAGGTTACCTAGCCCAATCTCCTGCTCAACGCAGGATCCGTTAGAGGATCTTTGACAGATGCCCATGCAGCTTCAGTTTAAAGCCTCATTTTTGTGGCATTCTGTTCTTCTGGCTGACAGCTTGTTCACAGCATGTATAGATTTGGGGATGTCACTGTCATCCACTGGAGTTGTGTGGGCTGCCCAAAATCTTTGCAGAATTGTCGTCTTGCTTCACGGAGTGGAAATTTGGTGAAGTCAGCATTCTTCCCTTCTCCCCTTCCCCGTCCTCCATCCACTGCAGACCTCTAGGGCCTGTTCATTCTTTGTGGCTTCATAATGCAAGATAAAGTTGCACCCCAGTGGGCATTGTTCTGTATAAAAGTGTCACATGACAAACAGTCCTTAGCACAGAGCTGCTCCCCAGTCTTGTTCTTGAACTCTGGGAATTCCCTGTCATCGTTCTGTTGGCTTCCCAGCCAGACGTTTTATTCTTGCTCTACTGTACTCTGTTCGCAGTTCCAACCCCAGATGATCCTGGTTGCTGCTGGTTTTGATGCTGTAATTGGTGATGTTAAGGTAAGATGGCTTTTCTGCTCTCTGCAGAGCATTTCTCAGCATTTTTTAAATGTTTCACAAGGGAGAAAAGGTTGAAAATCTGTTTTCTTCCTCCCCCGGCACGCTGGATTAAAGTCACCATTATGTTCTGGAGCAGGGATAGTCAACCTTTTTGGAGCCAGGGGCTGAGGAGAGCTAGAGTACAGAAATGGACGAGGCAAGAAATGAGCAAAAGCTAATGTTAATTGAAATTCAATAACAATTAATTCAGTCATTAATTTGATTATTCTTGGTGTTTTTAATAAATTCCTCTTCTGTCACATTAAAATTGCGATTCAGTGGCAACTTTTGGCATCATATACATGCCACAACTTATGCACTTGCATCAGGTGTCAGGAGTCATTTGTATGATGTTGTCACTGCCTCTGCTGTTCTGCTTGGGCTGCTGCTCTCACTAAGCCTCTTAAGAGGAGGGATATCCGGCTTCCCAGCTGTCTTCTTGATAAACATGCCTGACCAATTCTGCAAGAAAAAGAAAGAATGATTAATAGCTAATATTTTTGGGGAGGGGGGGGTTGACCATTTTTTAATCCCCTGTACTGCTTGTAAGATGACCAGGTTGTCTTAAGAGGAATAAATCCAGCTTATACATCTAATCATGACTTTAGCTTTATGTGTGGTAGTCGATGGCAGCTTTGATGAATAACTGGATGGAGTAGACTGGTTGCCCACCTTAGACCGTCCCTGAAGTCACAGGTGGTATACTGAGAATGAGGGCCGGAATGCCTGACTTAGCAAGAGTGTTTTGAGATGTGGGATTGCTGGTGGCAAGGACAAACACAAGCTCTTTTTCTGTAACCCTAGAGCTTCAGCTAGGCAATGCAGAAGCAGCCTTGAGGACCAAGAGTCTTTCTCGTTCCCACTTCTCTTGCCACAGCTTTAGAGGCGCTTCCAGGGGTCTGCTGCAATAGAAGTAGTTTATCTGTCCAATAACATTTTTTTTTCATTTAATTTAATGTATCCACTCCCTGATTCATGCCTTGCCCCCTTTTCCAAGAGTAAGTCAGGAGAGTGCAATTGACCAATCTTTGCACTCCTAGGGGGAGATGGCTGCCACCCCAGCATGCTTTGCTCAGCTGACACATCTGTTAATGTCGCTGTCTGGAGGCAAGCTGGTTTTGTCTCTGGAGGTGAGTGATTTTCTTTCCAATTTCTAGCCAGGGCTGGGGTTGGGCGGTCACTTAAGGAAGACATCTAGCTTCTCCCTTTTCACTTTCTCAGGGTGGGTATAATCTCCAGACCTTGGCAGAGGGAACCTGCATGGTCCTTAAGACTCTCCTAGGAGATCCCTGTCCACTGATGGAATCACCTTTCCTCCCATGTAGCAGGTAAGAGAGATATTTCCCTTTTGGCTCCTGAGCATTGAACCAGAGCTCCCTGCTGCCTGGTGCTTTTAAAATCATTGTGTTGGATCAAATCCAACCCCCTCCTCTGAGCAGGAGTCCAATTAAAGCAACTTCTTTTCCTCCTGTCAGTGCCCTCAGCTCAGTGTCTCAGACCATTGCAGTTCATAGCAAGTATTGGAAGAACCTACGGAGGATCAGTGAGTGAATGTAGCTCTCTTTCTCCCGTTCCTCAAAAGCAAGTAGCCGGGGGCATCTTTGCTCTCAGTTCCTTTCTACTCTGATTGACTATGAGACACTCAGGACTGCTCAGGACACTCACTGAATCTTTCTCTGCCTCTTCCATACAATTCAGGTGCTGATGTGCCCCAGGAGAATGGCAAGGTTAGTGTAGCTTGGCCACCAGCCAGCCATCTGTCTGTAGCTGATGCCCTCTCCAGGTCAGCAGCTGAACTGATGCAGCCCCGGCCCCCTTCTTGCACAGGGCTAGTCTATGATGAGAAGATGATGGAGCATTACAATATGTGGGACAGGTAAGAATTTCAGATATAGTTTAAGTGAGTTAAAGGGAATGTTTCCATCCTTTCTGCACGTGTAATGCATGCAAGCAGTTTTGCATCAGCTAGTGTACAAACCATGAACCAGCTGGTAAAGAGAATGTCTTTGAACAGATGTAGAGTGCTAGTTCCCCACCAAGTCACCATAGTTGACAACTCTGCTTCTGACTGAGTCTCTATCAAAGGAACACCTAATTATTTTTGGAACTACAGACTTTAAGGGCTACACTATTTTAAGATATTCACCAAAACAGTCTGTCAAATGATTCAATCACGTGGCTTCCAGGCAGATTTGAGATCCAGTGTGTTTTTGTTCTTAAGCTCATTGGAAGGGCACAGGGCCCCTCATACAAAATTGTTCTTTAGGAGGGAAGTAGGCAACTTTTTTTCATATTAAGGATCTCTTCTAAGAATAATCTGATGGGGGCTGTGTGTGCTGGTGCACAGACTGGAGGAAACGGTGGCTGGGCCCAGATTCAGAAGTAGGCGAGGCCTTTCGTTTTTTGATAACCTCTGTTTTCTCTCTCCAAGCAACAGATTGTCAGAGAATGGGCAAAAAATACTTAACAGTGGTTTGAACTGGTACCTTGCAAAAGTTTTTTGAAATTAGACCAAGAGGTATATGTGGTCCAAGAACTTCAGATCTTCCATCCCTATCCCAGAGGTTTTCTGAAGAGGCTGGTTAGGTTTTGTTTCCATCCTAAAGCTTGAAAGCAAGACGTTGTGTAAGAGTCATAGCGTTCTGTCACTCTTAGTGTCACCTTTCTTCTGTAGCCAACATCCAGAGCTGCCTCAGAGAGTCTCCAGGATCTTCCAGCGCCATGGGGAGCTGCATCTGACAGAGCGGTGCTGCCGGCTCCCAGCCCGCCTTGCCTCTGAAGAGGAGCTACAAATGTGCCACAGGTTCTGAAGAATTTAGTTCCAATAGCCTTTTCAACACCAAGGAGAGGGGTGGGAGGTCTGACAGAGTAGGGTTGGGATAAGTCAGCAATGCCCAAAGCTTCACACTCTTCTTTTTATGTAAAGAGGGAGTGGAGTCCATATTACAGTGTTCTCCAACCGAATGCTCTCTAAAGGCATTGGGCTTTAGCTCCACAAATAGATTGGCTAACAGAATTTTAGGAGTTGAAGCCCAACCCATTTGGCAGGCATCTGGTTGAGAAAGGCTGCCTTATTGCCTCTCCTCCTCTCTGCAGCCTGGCTTATGTGGAGACAGTGAAGTCCACAGCCACCATGAAGCCCCGTGACCTGCATCGCCAGGGCGACCAGTACAATTCTGTCTATATCTGTGCCAGCTCCTATGAGTGTGCCCGGCTGGCAGCCGGGTCTGCATTCAGTGCAGTAGAGGCTGTACTTTCTGGGAAGGTAAGTGCCAGGACCTTTGCAGGGCAGGGAGTGAGCAGCAGTTAATTCAGCCAGTCTCCTACAGATTATATCCTTTTGTCCAGTTGCTTTGCTACAGCCTTTGGACAGGCCTGCCTCTAGCAGGTGGCCTGTTCTATAGATCCCTTTTAGCTTGGAGGAAGTTCTCTGCACAAGTCCCATTGCTATCCTGGATTTCCATACAGCATTTATCCCATATTGTTTCTTCTTCTGGGGCCCCAGACTCAAAATGCTGTGGCCATTGTCCGCCCTCCTGGACACCATGCTGAATCAGATACTGCCTGTGGCTTCTGCTTCTTCAATTCTGTGGCTTTGGCAGCACGATATGCCCAGCGCTTTGCTGGCCGGAGCATGAGGTGAGTATACTCCCAAGAGCATAAAATTTTGTTTGACTAATTAAAGCAGGTTTGGCTCTTGAATTTTGTTCCCCAAGAGGTATCCTGGGAGCGGGAATTGTCATTCTGGGAGCTCCATAACAGTTAAAGTTTATTTTAGCTGAACTTAATCCGGGAGTTTAACTTACTGATCTGATTTTTGTTTTATTTCTCAGGGTGTTGATACTAGACTGGGATGTTCACCATGGCAATGGGACGCAGCACATGTTTGAAGATGATCCCAGGTACCACATATCATCTTTTTTCCTATTTAAAGGAACAGTTATGCTACATCCTACAGAATAGGGAATCAGGGTTCTTTTTTCCCTGCCCAGCTAGAGGTCATCTTTATTTGTTATGGATGAGCATTTACCAAAGGGGACATTTGACAATATTCTGCAGTAACACCCCTCCCCCATCCCCTGGTTTCTTAATCATTTTTTTTTTCTTTTTTGAGACATGAAATACCACAAGTAAGTTAAAACAGGGATGGGAAGTCTTGGGGCTCAAGTGAGCTCATTTCCTCCTCCCCCAGACTTTTTAACCTCCCTTCATCTGTGAGGGAAGCCACATTTGCAGTGGAGAATCTGTTTTCTCTTTTCTGCCTCTTGCCTCCTGGCCCCTGGGGCAATTTCCCCCCATCCTTGAACTAAAACAAAGGATAAAATGGCAGGCAAGCATTAAACATGCCTGTGATGCTTGCATTAACTTTGATGCATGCTTCAACTGAAAAGAGTCCCCTCCTTATTTCTTAGTTTTCAAATATATGTGGTATTGTTTGGCTTAGAATCCCAATTTGCAGGGGTAAAGGATAATGGGGCTCATACCCATAGCCTGAGGGTGCAGAGGGCATGAAAAGAAATGTGGGCTGCTTTCAATGAAAGGGCATGGGCAGCTATCCCTTCTCTGCCTCCTTGTTGGATTTATGGGGGGAGGAAAAAAAGACTGAAAAAGCCCCCATCCTTATAAAATTCCATGAATGAGGCCAGACCATGATGGCAGGTCTCCAAGCAGTAGTCGAGGAGACAAATTGCAGAATTTTGACAAGGGTTTCTGGCTCCCTGTTGCCTAATAAAAAAGGTTTTCTGCTTTTCTGGCTTTTAAATTTGACAGCTGAAATTGAGAGAACTTTTAGGGGAAAACTAGGAGTAGATTTCTATGTGGGAAGGCCATAAGCTCAGTCTCTCGCTAACACCAATATCTGGACTGAGTGATTGTGTTCACAGGACATACCTAGTAGGTTAAAAAAAGGAAGTAGTGTATCATATGAAGGCCATACCCCAGTCAGTGCTATGTTAGAGGGGTTTAGTTTATTCCCAAATAGCCCCATGTTGTTTCTCCCTGCCATATGTGTCATCCAAAATAGTTAAACCTCTCTTTCCACTGCAAGCAGAGAGACAAAATCTTGGAGTAGCTGGGCTCTTCTAGGACCTCCCTCCCTCCCTCCCTCCCTCCCTCCCTCCCT